GCTCTCTCTTCACAGATGCTGCAAGAACTGCTGAGTATTTTCCAGCTATTTCTGTTTTTGTTTCTGATTTCCACCATCTGCAGTTCTTTGGTTTCTTGTATGATGCAAACCTACTCCTGGTCTCTCTCCTATGTCTAAACAACATATCATGATATGATTACAAGGGGGCACATGTCTTGTACGTTAAACCAAACTTCATGCACGTTACAGCTCCTCCTTTTGTGTAATTGGAGCTATTATAATGACGTTATTCATCAAATGTACAAATTCAGACCATTGGGTAACAATTTTCTCATGGAAATGCAAGAACTATTCCTGTGATGTGTGGACAATATAACTGTGAAGCTTTTAGGGACAATGCATATTAATGGAGGATTCTAATTTACAGGCAGAGATTGCTTCCGTTAGGAAGCAGATATTCCTTTTTAATCGACAGACATAAATAACCAGTGCCTAGTTTAAGCATTACAAGAAAAATCATTAGCTTTTCTCTGCTTTTGATAACCTAAGCCATTACTGAGAGTATGTTGAATGGCTGAGAAGATAATCAGAAAAGTATAAATTTGGTCATTTCACTTTTATTCCATTGATGCCTCTCCTCATCTTTAGTGTGTTTCATTGAGGCAGGCTGATTGGAAAGTAGCATATCTTAGTGAGATATGCATGCATAGGAGTGGCATTGGATAAAAGACAGGTGATAATGTCAAATACGCAGGTAATCTGATCAAGCCTTGGAAGAAGTCATGTGCAACAAAAATAATAAACATCAGTAGAAACATCACATTTAAAAATGCGCCATTTCACTTCACAGACTGAATGGCAGATATCAGAAATGAAGGCTATTGTGTTTGCTTGACATCATCTAACTAACCATCAGACTCACATCTCCTATTTCTTTGAATCACACAAATGGTCTTAGTTGAAGTCCCATGCACAGTTTTAGAGTTGAAAACTTTGTGCCTTTTGACAAGGATTTATTATTAGCGTTACCATGGCTCGCAAATTTAACTCTCCAGCCGGAGGTAATGGGTCACCAGCCTGCTTCTTGGGTCTCTGCCAACCTCATTTTACAGTCAGTCAATCATTGAAAGCAGTGTGAGATGGGCCCTGGGCCTATGGGTGGGCTGTCCCTTGATCTGAGCACGTGTTCAGGATCATGTTTCCAAGTACTCTCTATTTTAGTTTGATGGATGCCGTGCAGAAAGTTTCTTCTTCTACCACAACAAACATTTAATTCACTCGAGGTTGAGCCACCACCAGCAAGGTCAATAATTATTGCCCTTCCCTATTTACTGTAGAAGTAATAGAAAACACACTGTCATAGCAACTTTTCCAGAAATGAGCAACACCAGGAGCTTATGTATGAAGGCAATTGATAACACACGGGAAAGGGAACATTTTGACACATTATAACTTCATCATGCTCCTAAAACCTTTGCCAGTAATGAACATTTATACTGAATTCTTCTGCAAACATGGACAATTTTTTCCTGCTACATCTTGTCGTGTTGCTAATGAAAATTAAGAACAACTCCACTTGCACTTTCTTAATTCATCCATGGGACATGGGCATCACTGACTCGGCCAAAATGTATTGTCCATCCTTAATTGGGAAGATAAGCTGTCTTCTTGAACTGCTGCCAATCATGTGGTGTGGGTTTACCTCAGTGCTACTGGTATGGTGATGGCACATAAAATACATTTAATTCTGCTATTCCAGCCCGTAAAACA